TTGTTCCTTTTAATTAAAATAAAACCTCCCTTTCACTTCCCCACTTCAAACCCACGAATTTCCCAACTCTTTTACCCAAAAATCAGGCCACATTATGTTCCACAAAACAAAAACAAAATCAGGAAAAAGTTTTCCTTGATTGAATAGTGCTGATTTTGTCCTGTTGTTCAAAACCCAATCCCATTCATATCCTTCAGCTTATGGCCGAATTTCCCACTCCAAATATCCATAAACACAACTCCATTTACCAAGGATAAAGATAAAAACATCAAGGAACCAAAATCAGTGATTGAATAGTGCAAACTTTGTCACATTATCCTTAATTGTCAAAGTTACAATTTTCCTTGATTTCCTTCTCACATGGCAGGAATTAATGAACCATACTAAGCCAAAATTCCAGCCTTTTAATCTCCTTTTCCTGGTCAATGAGTGCTGCCCACTAAGAATAATAACACATGGATATTAATCACATGATTTGTAGGAAAGTGAAGTGTAATTTCCCTTAATTTTGCATTATATATCTCGGCCATGAGGCCTTGTAAAGATCATCTCATTTTATCATTATCAATATTACTCTTGAAGTATTCCCTGAATTGGTGTGAAGCTAGTTCAATCCACTTCCTAATGAAATATCTCTAAAGTTGGCTACTTTTGAGTGTGTGTTAGGAGTCTATTTAATACTTTAATAGTGATTATTATTGTATAAAATAGATAACAGCCCCAAATATATATTAAGAGTGTGTTTATCTCTTACATATTGTTTGGTTTATCCCTATTCAAAAATCCCAAAACATTTTCTCTGTTTTTCCTCTGATCCTGATTCTGAACTTCTGAATAATCGATTATCCTTAACTGATAATCGACTATTGTAGTCTGCAGATTCTTCTCCAAAGTACAAAGCTTCTCATAATCGATTTTCAATAATTTGATAATCGATTATCATTATCCTCAGGAAGTATCCAGTTCCGCGTAAATTCTTGTAAATCGATTGTCTTGTATAGTCAATCGACTTTTGGGTTCCTCAGAACATTACCAGTTCTGTATCAGATCCTATTAATCGATTTACTGAGCTTGTTAATCGATTATCTCCCACTTCCAAATCCTGAGTGAATCATTCCCTGTGTTTGAGTACAACATTTGGTATCAAAGCTTGTTGTTAACATCTCTAAAGGACCAAACACACGTTCCTCACCTTTTCCTAAACCTTTCTTGATACTTCATCCCAATTACATCACACAAAGTCCACAAATCAGCCCAACCAAACACCATGTCAAATACCACTCAAAACATGACCCATGAAGAACTTGTAGCTTCAAATGCAGCCCTGCAAGCTCAAGTTGATTATCTAGCCAAACAAATAGCCCAGCTCACTAAACAAAAACTAGCTATGTTGCAATCCAGTGATGATGAAGAAGACGCTAGTTCCAGCGCCACCATAAGAACTAAAGCTCAAGATAAGTCCAGTTCTGATTTCAAAGTGGATATTCCCATCTTTGAAGGAAAGAATGACCCAGATGAGTTCCTAGAATGGCTGGAAACAGTAGAAAGAGTATTTGATTTCAAAGAAGTATCCGACGAGAAAAAGGTCAAGCTTGTAGCCTTGAAGTTTCGGAAATATGCATCTACCTGGTGGTCCAACATCAAAACCAAGAGGAGTCGAGATGAGAAACCCCCGGTTGATACCTGGCAAAAGATGAAGACTCTCTTGAAGAAGAAGTTCCTACCTACTGAGTACGTACGTGAGAATTTTGCTAG